CTCCCTTTGTCTTTAGCCTTCCTCATGCTCTCCAGGCTCCTACAAGTTTTATGTGCAAAGGTCCTGACTATCTGGAAAGTTAAATGAAAGCCCAGAATTCACACAGACCCTGAGGAAGAACAGTGGTCTTGTCAAAGTTTTAAGGCAATTCCTTTCTGAGGCTGTGGGACAAATCAAAACATCCCACTGCTCTGGAGGTTAAGGACTAAGGAAAGGGACAAAATTAGATTGTGTGAGAAAAACATTTTTTCAAGGATATGTGGAGAGAGACACTTATCGAGAGAGATATTTAGTAAGTCAGTAAAAGCTCACTGTGTCACACACTGTGTTGGGCATTGGGGGGAGGCAGAGCCCTTGCCACGGAATCCACCTATTCCTAAGTCCTAAGTCTTAGTCTTTCCTCTGTACTGAGCCCTAATCTTTATCTTTGGATGATGTATCTTCTTTTTTCTTTTAAGGTATCTAGAAAACAATTTTGACATCCAGGCATGTCCAGAAACACACTGTGGCCTTGCATCAAGCTATGGACTCTAACACGTTCTTTTATTACCTAAGAAGGCTAGCCAGATGTTGGCGTGCAGACATAGCTGTGGAGCCTACAGAAAAAGAGAACGCGTTCTGCTCTGCAGGCAGCCCAGGCAGCCTCTCATTACGCCCCAGTGGGGTCATCAAGCTGATGGGGGATATTAGGAGCTTGGAGTGAGTCCAGAGCGTTGCCATCAAAAGAAAGAAACACCTGAGAAATAATCCTGAAGGGGTAAGTTGAAAGGAACTGGGCTTGTTTGCCTGGATAACAGCTTGTAAGTACACAGAAGGGACCAGCCTGGGCGAGGCCTGTCCTGGGTGGTAAGGAGGCAGCTCTCGAACATAGGGACCATGGAAGAGGAGATAATGGCTTTGGAGGTGACGTTTAGATTTCTAAAGAGATTTGGGTCTGTCAGACTTCAAAATGTATGTCCAAAGGAAATTACAGGTGGCTTCCCATTTCCGCAAATCAAAGATAATCCAGTTTAGAACAATAAACAAGCCTGGGGAGAAGGTGAGGTTTCAGGCCAACACTTACATCGCTGATAGCTCTGTGGTTCCTGGATTTGACATGGGGGTCTATTATTCAAAAAATGTGAAGTGTGTGTGTTCATGAGTGAGTGAGTGTGTGTGAGTGTGATTGTGAGCAAGTACATATATGTAGGTGTGTGTATATGAGAGTTTGAGTGTGCATAAGTGTATTGTGAGTGTGAGTGTGTATGTATGTAGTGGAGGGAGTGGCTCTCATCTCCTTCATTCTCAGAAAAATGAATATAAATATTTCTTGGGAACATTTTTCCAAGGAGAGTTGGCACTTCTGTTTAGAGACACACCCTAGCTACTCCATTCTGGAAGGAAAGCATGGCTTTCCCCTGGCCAGGTGCATTAGTTGCTATTCCATCACCTGTTGTAGCAAGACAAGAGACAGTTCCATCTCCAAGGGAAGGTGGGTCACTGAAGGGGTAGGCCTGTTGTCAGCCAGAGACGGAGGAAACACATGAACATCATCTGCTGTCTATAAAAGCACTCACACCTCTTTTTTCTGAGCACACGGCTTTCTACTTTACTACAGAAGAAAAAAAGAGAAAGCGACATATTCTCCAAGTTCGAAATAGGACTTCTGTACAGTTTCACTTTTGTAACTAAGAAAACAAAGTAGCTTTCTCATCGCAGGCACAGAAATCCAGTCTAATTTCCAAAGACTTGCATTATGACAAATGCCAAAATATGTGGCTGTATCACAAAAAAAATTCCAAATGTCCCTCTCCCCTAATTGCACCATGTCTACCCTATTTATTTAGAAGTGAATTAAGATAGAAAAAATCTATTTTTCATCCCTCTGAGTTTCAGAGAGTATTATCTGTTGTGAAGAAAACTCTAAGTGCTTTAGAACTCATAATTTCTTTCCTGAGCCTCTCATTTTCTCTTACACATTTTGAAGTTACAGTCAGATGAGATTATAGATTTCTAAAAATCTTGTGTCTGCTTTAGTTACCTGAAGCCAAAACAGATTGCAAAGCCAAGCAAACGTTGCGTTCGCCTTTGTTTATACACAAATGCCTAGGGTGGGCAGTCACTATGGGTTGTAGACTCCTCTGTGGGTCAGTCAGCAACTACTGTCTGTAGATTCTTTGCAGGGGGTCAGTCATTATTGGCCTAGGCTCCTGGGGATGAGAGTCAGTCACTCTGGGCCATCTCTGTGCATCCCCACTGGAGCAACGTCAAGCACTTCCATCTACTCTTCCTGCAACGCTTCTTAGAAAGTTCCAACCATGACATGAAGTGGTAAGAGGAAAACTAGGACTGGGGGAACTGAAAAGAGAGAAGATGTGAATAACCAATCTGAAAGAAAACACAGTGCCTTTTCTATGAGCCGTACTGTCCCATGATGTGGCTGAAATGGCATAGCGTTCCTAAAGCCAGATCCCTCAGTAGTTAAGCACCACTGGAATTATTTTAGGGCTTAGGGATTACTTTCACTTGTTTTAAACACACCACATGGTTTTCCAATGATTTCCTAGTGAAATCTATTCATCTTGAATTACGCATTCTGAGTTTTAATAAATACCAAGAATCCTGGTGTTGGAAACATGGCTTAAAAAGTGACCAGAGTGAATGTTTGTTAGCTTGATAATGCTTGCTGTCCCATATTCTAGTTGGTGTATAAATGTTCACTCTTAGAGTCAACATGTTTCAATGTCTTTTGCCATTGCCTTGGGTTACTGAGCAAAGGGCTGTGTTATCCTGGCTATAACTTAGAGACATCTCAGTCAAGAGCTTAGGAATTAGGTGAGAAGAGGATATTCAACCAGTACCCACTGACTTTAGTTCAATGCTAAGTCGTAGGAGTGCAGAGCACAGTTCTCCTGAGCCATATTTTCCATCTTAGCTCCAAGATCTAAGAACAGGTGAATACTAAATCCAGTCACAAGCCACAGAAGAGAGGTTCAGAGGCCAATCTTCTAACTCATAGCCCTGACAGCCCATCTACAATATGGCTGGGAGCCAGAATTTCTGCTGGTCGAGAGGAAACTAACAGCATATAAGCAATGTGAGGAGCGTTTTATGTTGCTGTATTTTGAAGAATGAAGAGCACCCCATCAGGTGAGCAAAGAGTCGATAATGCAAAGGCACATGGATTGGATCTTGTTTCTGTTCTGGAAGTTTACTCCAGGAACCTGCTTTCGCTGAGAGTTGATGGGGCTTAGGATGAATTAATATAAAGATAATTAAGATAAAAGCAAAACAAAATAAAGAGCACAAAACCTCCCTCTGATACTGAGGATAAGGTAACAGCAAGGTACACGGACTTGGAAAATTGATGGTATTAATGCAATCCTCTGCCTGCCGGCTAAAGTTCACTTTTCTCTGTACCTAAATTTTTCAAACTTTAAAAATTGGTAAGTTTAATATTTTTGGAATAGCTTTCATCAACTAAGATGGCTGTTTATCTTAGTGAGATTAATTGTGTTATTTATTCATTAATTCACTGTCTTATTCTTTCTACTTCTTTTATACCCAAAAAGTGTCTGAGTTGGATACATTTAGTTTTGAAGGCATTTAACATTTTAAATTAAGACACAAGAAATTCTAAATGACACTTGAGATGCCTCGAGAGAAGCCTCTCATCTGTCGTGTTTGTAGATACTCTCACATATTCATAAATCAAATCCTGCACATATTTAAGCCAGGCCAAAGTACTAAAAAGCACTATGTCTCCCATTAGAAGGAATGCAATTACTCTGCTTAGTTATGTTTTTAAAATAGCTTGACATTTCAAATAATTGATGAATACATAATTTGCTAATCAGTAATGGACATTTCCCATGGTGGTATCATCGCTAGTTTCACAATTTACTATTTCAGAAGAGTTTTATGAATGCAAAGGTTAGAGCTGAGAAGCAGAGAGAAACCACTCCAGGATGACATTATCCTATTTAACATCCATAATACTTAACAGTAACAACAATTAAGCTTCACAAATTAAGTCAATGTATTGAATTCTTCTTGGATAAATTATAGATGGAACATTTACATGTAGTGATTTTTCCCCATACTAAATTCCCCATACACGATCCTGTACCCAAAAGAACATCAGAGCAACATACTGTACTGTAAAGGATTAAATGATATTTTAGCTTATGCCTTTATTTCTTGTCTCTTTTCTCCAAGTGATAATAGAGATCTCATTTACCATGCATGAACACATGACATTCTCTTACTGAGAACATTTCTGATATTGTTGGTATAGGAGAGAAAAGTCATTTATTAAAGATTGCCTTATTAATCTACAGTTTTTGGTAAACATCTAGATTATCTGGTTGGTCAATTTGTTTTTATGACCTAAGAAAGAAGACTAGCTGCCGTCATCAATCCAAATGAGTTGGTATCAGAATATTTATAAGCACATCGATCTTCACAGTATCTTACAATCATGCTCCAAGCTAAATAAAAATAAAAGTAAAATTGCCACAAATATTACAAGATAATAGGATAAGAGCTAAAAGGTATGTACAAATTCATTGACAACATCTGTGCAAGTGTTGTGGACAAAACATTTAAAAAGAAATCTACATAAAACAAAGTAGATAAATTTATCAAATGTTGATAAATTTTCAGAGACAGTATAAAAGTACACAAAACATGGAAGAGAGAAAGAATTTAAAAAAACAACCACTAAGCCAATACATATGGTACAAGTTTACTACATTTATATTACAGAATGATGGAAACCAGAGACAAAAAGGATTTGGTAACAAACAGCAAAGAAAGTTTCACCAATCACAGGGAAGAAAGACTTTCCTTTTCGGATGAAAACACAGACTGCCACAACTCATTCCCCATCCCATACACACAGAGAAAAATAAAAGCCAATGCGACAGTTGTCTACAGCAACACACGACAGACAGAGGTGGGAAGCGTTTGGCATGTTGCATCACAGGAAGTCAATCACGATTGGCTAACGATGATGGTACCTGGCTCTGTTGCAGGTCACTGGCTTGCCTGAGAGGAGTAACTGATGGCGGGGGCACACCTGATGTGGACGCAGACCGGCCTAGTTTGCAGCTTACTTTCGGTTCTGTGAACAAGGAGGAAAGACACACAGTATTAGCTGAGCAACGTTGGCAGTGATGAAAAGGCTTTCAGACTCCTTTTTGTTTTGCTGCGTGCTCTTCTAACACCTCCAAAACCTCTGATGTTTGCTAAGAATGGGCAGCTGAGGAAACAACTTCACAACGATGGACTCTAAAGTGAGCTTTATTGGCAGCTCAGCTCCTGGGAATAAAGAACAACTCATGGAAGCACAGCCTTCTCCCCTTGCACATCATTTTGCCCCATTTAGGGTTAGTTTCTATAGAGTGATTATTGGAGCAACAACATCCCATTGGGGGAAAAAGCAAGTGACGTGATTATCTTTGGGGCATCGTTTTCACCTTTGATCCATAGGTGTCCTACATCCTAAAATGTCTTTCCCATCCTCTCCAATATTTTTCCTTCCTCCCTCTCTCCCTCCTTCTTTTCTTTCTTTTTCTTTCTAATTTTGAAATCAGTATCATTGTGCTTATGGTGACAACTTTCGTCATATTTTCAAAGTAACATTTCTCTAATTTACCTCCATTTTGCTTTAAATTTTATACCTATTTCCCAAGACTTTTGCAATCTTTCATAATAATATTATTTTTCAAAATTGAAAAGCATTCCCCTAACTCTTCCTCTATTAAGGAGCCCAAATGGGCTGCCTAGGCCATTGACGGGATGCTTTGGAGATTAGAATTTGGGCATGCAAAGAATTCCCTTCATCCAAGAAGCATAGAATTTATGGTATACAGAAGATGTTGATTTTCAGATATATTTGAAGATATTTGATAAAGGAGAGGAAAAGAAGTTATAAAAAGAAAAATTGACATCAAGTGCTTTTATCACAAAATTTTATACTAGCTGTTAGTTTTTGAGTGTCTAGTATCTTCCAGATTGTTTGGGCTACACTTAAATTATCTCTAATCCTAAAGATACTCTTTAGAATTACAGAGATAGTGATAAGTGGTCCCAACTTATAAATTAGAGACCTGTCGCTCAGTAAAGTTGATATTTGCATTGCAAACGAACAAGTGCTTTCCAAAAAGCCTTTCTTTATAAATTAGACTTAAAAATTAAACTCATTAAACAACTAGCTTCCAATGATATTGCATCACTAAGTAACTAAGAGTGACACAGAGGCAGAATGTGCCCAGTTCTGCTGGAAGAAAAGAAAATGTGTTGCACACGCTGGGTAGGAACCCTTTCTTTATGCCATTTCTGTATGAATTGCACTTTAGAGAAAAGCTTTGCTACGTCTGCAACACATGAATTTTTCATGGCCAACTTCAGCCTCTACGAACCGGCTTCCAGTCATTCCTTCCCCATCCCTCACAGATGCACAGACTAAGATACATTTATGCCCATTCACACTCAGATCCTTACACACAATCTTTCCTCTCCCACCCCTGCTTCCACCTATAAAACAATGTGTCACCTCCATTTTAAAAGTATTACCTTCAAGGGTAGTAATTGCCTCTTTTTCCACAAACCAAATTGCCTTTTCTCTGAGTTTCTGGTGTCATTCCCCCAAAATAAATAAAAGACAATAAACAGGCTTTGGACTTAGAGATGATTTTGAATTTGATTCCACAACCTGTGTGACCTTATCAATTTGTTTAATTCTTTAAGTTTTATATCTTTTTGAACAAAATAAATATAATCTTTTACTCGACATTCAGCATCTATTAATTTTATACCTACTGTGTGCCAGGGATGGGACAGTGTGGTGACCAAAATCCCATTCTTGCCCTAAGGGAACTCACAGTCTATTGGAGAACACAGATATTAAACAACAAATTACGCTTTTGATTATGAAAATGTAATTGTGATGAGCTTCTCGGTGCAATTATTGGTGGTAGAAAAACATTTATTGGGGGAACCAACAGGACTTGAAAGGACATTGATATCTACTTTGTGGACAGCAGAACTTAAAGATCTTGTTTGTTTTTTGTTCCTTCAACAAACATTTATCAAAAGCCTACTCCACACAAAACACTGCACTAGATGCTAAGTGAGGGAAAAGAAGATGGCAATTATCCGTGTTTTAAAGAGTTTACGTTTTCTCAGAAAGACAGACATTAAACCTAAAATTGTTTGCTGAAAATTAGGAAATGCATTAGAAACGAGAAGTGCAGGGTGCCATGGTGTCATTTATCAAGAGTGTGCCCTGTGTTGCGGGGAGCCAGCCAAGGCTGGGCCCTAAAGAAGCTGCTGTAATTAACGCCAGCCAGCAGCGCTGAGCAGGTGCAAAAGCTGAGGTGGGAGGATCCCGGCTGAGTAGATTTGTTTTCCAACCTACTCAGAAGTCAAAACTATTTCAGAATGTGCTGTTTTCATTCACTTTACTGCTTCTTTATTATAAGGAAATAGTAATAAATGAAATATCCTACTAGCCAGGATAGTGGGGAATAGATGGGCTAATGGTGGATCAAAGTTACCCGGAAAGGTCTGAAAATACCAAGTGCTTTTAAGGAATGTTGCCTCTCATCTTCTCTACATGCACACACACTCAGACACACACGCACCTGTACACACAGGCACTTGCACACATATGTGTGTAGTGACCCTTACCTCAATTCTCGTCTTCTACATTTAATGAAATTACATTATTCTCTTCCAGAAAATGTCTTCCCCTTTTCCATCTATGACACTCTTGGTGTCACCTCTCTTCTCCTTTTGCTCTTTTTGCTTTTATCTTTATCTCTTGTTTTGCCTTTTCCTTCTGCACTTTCTCCCTCAGAACACCTGCACTCTCGTGGCTTCTTACAAAATCTTTTCTCTCTTGGGTCACATGGCAGATCCCACAGTTCTGTCCTTTCCTCATGCTTTTGTTTCATTTTAGCCCCAATACCTTCTGGACACTAGTCATCTCATTGTCTCATGATGAAAACCAGGTGATAGCTCTTTCTCAGCATCTTGGATTCCCCTTGTGACTTTCCTATTTTCACAGAATATCACCTCCACTTTCTCAGAGGCTTAGGGTCCAAATCTTGTACTTTTTAAGTTCAGAGCTTTCTTCTTCTCTTTATATAAAATTAGTCTTGTTGGAAATTTTCTTTTTACTTTGAAATGGCTTCTGTATTTATCTCAATTCACTGATGCCATGATAAGTTTGGTCTTCAACAACTTGGGATATTTATTTATTTATCAGAATACATTAATATATTTATCATTATATATAGATCAGAAACCACCTCGCTAGTCCCCATAATCTCTCTGCTCAAAACTAACTTGGACACGATGTCAGACTGAGCTTCCTAGATTACTTTTAGGTCACCTAACTTGTTCAAAAATTTCCAATTATTCTACATTCCATGTGATAAAAACTTCAAAATCGTCCGACTAATTTTCGAAGGTCCCCTGTGATCTGACCCCATCTGGTTAGAGCCACTCTATTTTCCACCGTGCTCTGCTCCCCAGAACAATACAACTCAGTCGCCCCTCTCAGGCTCCACATTTGACACTCCTTCACCTCAAGGTGTTCCCATGCATGGGCTTTCATCAAACCAAATCTCACCTACTTTCTAAGACCTAGTTCAACATGTACTTCTATTGTCACGCATCCTGATTCTTTCTTCTGAATGGCCTTAGCACTGATAGAGAGTTTGCACAGCTTGCTGTGGCTTTGAACGTTTATGTTGTAGTAAGCGTTCAATTAATATGTATTTTTCTTCCACTGAAGACACTCAAGTTAACCTGGAAAAGGTCAATGAAACTTCTAAAAGCAAACAGAGGCACGTAAGGTAACCCAGAACATGCTCTAAGGTGGGGTTCAAGGCTTGGCTCCCGTACTCACTAAGGCAGCGACTCCCATTCAAGGGTACGAGACCTTCTAGGGTCCATTTCAGAGGAGGTTTTGGGTTCCAGAAATTCTCCTCAAGTTTGGTGCAGGTGTTTCTATTATCTACCCACCCACTCTTGAAAGGTGTTTAAATATATCGTACGATGACATAGATAAACTATCACTGTAACTTAGACATTAACTTCATTTCCAGGAGGCATAAATTCTTGAGTACCTTAGGGAATCATCTTTTATTATATAAAATAGTGGGTAAAGCATCGATCAGAATCCTGGTTGGCATGTTTTCATAATGAGCCAATGTTTCCATATATCTCTTTACTGTGGTAGCACATTTAGTCACAAGGAGTGAGAAAATTCAATATTTTTCCTAGGAAAGGATGGCAAATAGTATTTCTTTACTGTAAGGTTATTTTCAAGTTTATGTTGAAGGGATTATCTGCTGAGTGACATAATCAAATGCTTTTTATATTACCCAATGTACCTACGGATTAATTTCCCCTGCTAGGTTTCCAGTCAGATTCTGACTTAATCAGCTTCTTTCCAACATAGATACTGATATCTCCAACGCACAGACTGGGCCTTACCAAAATCCAAGCAAACTCCCAATTTCATCACGACCTGAAAAGGCCTTGCTTTACCCTCATTGGACAGCAGTCCAGATCATGTTTTGGTGCATCAAGCCCCCTTAGGCACTGCAATATTAACCGCTAACCACAGGTTACACATGTCAGTTTACACTACTAGCCAAATACCCTGTGGGCTACCTCTAAGGTCAGGTCACCCAGGGGTCAACTGCCAAATCCCAATATGGCTCATATGGGCTATGACCTCACCTGCAGCAGCAGGCTGAGAATATTGCCATAAATCCATTATGTACACATTCACACACAGGCAGACGAAAACATACACATACTTACGTGTGTACACACACACTCCATAATGTTGCAGCTTAATGGTATCGTATCATAGGGCCATTTTTTAAATTGTGAGGTTTTTGTTTATCTTTATCATGCTCATTTTGGCTCTTCTTTCCGTTTCACATGGTCCTTAACTTAAATGAATTTGGAATCTATCATAGTGTTTGTGGAACCAGGTTGGTGAAACAAGTCCTTATGATGTTGGATTTGCCAAGGTTTCTCTGGCCAAAGGAACTGTCTGAAGAAGTCTTGAAAATCCTAGAAAAGATCCTGGTTATAACC